AGTAGGAATAATAAATGATAGCCTAGCCCTAAACTACACGCCAGCACGTCGGGGAAGAGTTCAAGTAGATTTTATAGGAACTCAAGATTTAATTAGTCTCTAACAAGAATCGTTCAGCCCTATAATGGTATTAGATAAGATAATGGTGGAAGATAAGAGACAATTACATCACATCCAGCACACCGCAATCATCCTAAACAGTCCACAGGTCCACATCTCGCATGAGGTAGTCGGAAGGGATATATAAGTCACTGCTACGCGCTCAAATAGCAGAAACCACTGCAGGGGTAGTACGTTATCTGTATGTTTCCAGGAGCGGAGTACTATCACTCCTCGTCTGAAGCCTATTAGTAATTTGACTGGACTTAATACATACATAACAAATATCGTCATTGTTCAATTTAAAAGGATAACTATACCGGAAATGGGGCTCATAGCTAGGATGGCAACGAATTGAAGTAAAAAACCCAGGTCAAGCCGCTGTGAGAGAAACATGCAGACGAGACCGACCAAACCCACGCCCACAAAAACTGGATTGCATGTTATGGAAATGGGAAAGTGATATGAATATACTCAAGGCTAATGGTGATTTCGTTTCTTCCAAAAAATGTTGCCCTTTCCCGGTGCAAAATGTGTTTGATGTTACAATAAACCCTAAAAAAGGCATGTTTTTGCCTTCTTGTCCTTGTCTAGTTCACACATTTCATAATATTGTCGTTTCAAACAACCATCTGATTTTCAGGGCAACCATCTCCCCTGACATAGCTTCACAGGGAAGAGAACGTGCCTTTTTTGCCTTACAAGAGTGTGACATTTTAAGAAACGAACACAAAAGCTGCTCACCCTTTGCATTTAAATAAGAATCCAACGCTATAAGAGAAAGAGGCAATCAAAAGGCAACAATTTTTGGTAGAAACGAAATCACCATAAGTGACCAGAAAAATATCTATACTTTAAAACTGGAAAATAAAGCTAGAAGGAGAATGTTAAGACAACTAAAGGAATCACATTTCAGATTTTTTCGAAGTTAGGGGATATTCTTTAGCGGCGTTTGTGCCTTCTCTACAACATCTGGCGCTTTGAAGCACTTTGCATCACTTTGTGTCTATATGCTACAGGCAGACAATGAAAGACGCCTGCCACTGTCTTAAAATAAATTAATGCTGCTATGAAACTCGTTGGGACGAGGCCGAAATAGCTTGTACAAGAGATCCAAATACATTTGTTTTTCAATGCTCCAGGATAGTAGCCTTTGCTGAAGAGATTATAACATTATGAGTTCCACGAGTCTCGGTGCTGGCTTAACTCAAATGCTGAGCTAGGGCTTACAAATTGTAGCATATTTACTGATGATTCAAAAACTGACACCGGCTACATAGTGGAAAATTGGTGCAGGGGTAGAAGTTGAACTGAAGGTGTTGCCCAGCCCTGTAACTACTACAAAAAGGGAGTTCATGGTTATGACTGTAAGGCATCGAGGGATCGTAGATGGACACAACTTACGTTGCGTTCCATCTGTGGTCTATCTGAGAAACGCCTTTTGTACTTCCTGCATTGAAGGAGATTTCACAGCGGAAAATTTTTTGTGCTTCGGCCCCTCCTACCCAATGGTTATGTGGCAAGACCAATTTTTGTCCCGTGCCTCAACATTGTTGTCATATGTTGCTACTGCATTCATACATATATACATTTGTACATATTACGGTTGATGAAAAATACATTTTTACATATACATAAATATGTACCTGTGTACATACAAACTTTGCACTCCCTCTCTAAAATATGTATCAATGGAAAATTTCCAAATATTTATCGACATACCCATATATGCATTCGTATGTTTGTTTATACATATGTGTGTATGTACCCAGCCGGTAAAATGGGGAGAGTTTCTTTAGGAAGGGATTTTTTCAATTAGACCTTCTCTTTGGAAGCTTTATTAGAAGATCATTCAGTAGCCTGCCATTCGAAGGCAGACGTGAAGGCGTGCTTCCAACGCGACAAAAATCAAATAAAGGAAAAAAAAATAAACCATTATTTTATGGGAATTTTTTTCTTCTAAAGGGACGCTGAATCAGAAGGCCTGGAAACGCTGACCATTCCATACAAAATGAAAAGGAGTAAGAATCAAGCACGGAAATGCAATATTTTAAAAAGATCCGAAATAAGAGCTCCAAGATGGCGTTTTGTTTTACAATTTTTCCGAATGGGTATGTAGATAAAACATAGATATGAGTATGTTGCGAAAGAGATTTTGTAGTAACTTCGACACTCCGGTGGAGTTATGAATGTGCGACATGCACATACATACATATATATATATATGTATTTATAACAAAAGCAACATCTAAATATATGTATCTTAGTACATATATAGATATGTGAAGAACACGGCCCCGTTCTACTTACTCTCTTGAAAAACTTCACTGCTCCCACTTGTAAAATAAGCTCGGTGTGATTCTCTACTCTCGCTTTTATCAAGGCATATGCAACAAGGTAGAAGTGACAACCCAGTCGAACTCTCTCATAGCTGACTAGAATGTGTAAACAAACAAATTAACCCTTTGTACTGCGTGCACCATATTTGCCGAAGCTCAACATCATTTTAAATGAAAGTGTCTGTAAATATGAAAATATTTAAATCTATCTCCATTTTAGTAAGATAAACCGACCTTGTTTCAGGACCAGAAACCTGTATATCGTTACCTTAACTCACAAAGACCCTAACCAACAACTTTTAAATTTTACAGGAGAAGCAAAAACATTTTAAAAAGAATATCAAAATTGGGCTTTTTAATAAGTGGCATGTAACTCCGTTGTTTTTGGTACTAACACTTTAAAATATTTATGGAAGGTATATTTTAATATAGTCTACCAAAATCTATGAAAAACGCAGTTTCGAAAATGATGGCCTTTGTGAACTAAGTTAACGATATACTTTTCCGAAAGTTTTCGGTGCGCTAAATTCCCTAAAAAGAATGAAAGGTATTTAACTAGCTCAACGGATTTTTTTGGTGCCGTCAACGGCTTTGGGAACACGTAATTTTCTGTGATGCTAAGTAAACTCAAATATAGACGGAAAGCAGCTTTTTTCGCAATTTTAGGTTAGGATATCTTTTAAGCTAGAGCACTGAAACTCTGAGTTCAGCGTTCATTCGGAAAAGTATATCCAGGTTTCTGCTTCTGAGAAATTCTGTCGGCCTGTGTAATTATTGCACGTTCGCTCTTACATAGTTATATGTACCACTTAAAGCAAATTGCGCATTAAAGAAATTTACACAGTCATTTATAAAAATGCCTTGGCAATATTCTTGTATTTATTCGGCCAATGTTTTTGGGCATTTAGTTTTTTATTCAAATTATTTATTCTGAAACATATGCGAATTTTATATTTATTAGATTCGTATAATAAACCCAGCTATGCATTGAAGCCCATCTTCCTACATTTTCTCCTTCTTTCGGTAATATTTTGTGCATAGCTTCGCCATAAAAATTCATTGACGCTTCTCTAAGGAAGAAAGTGAGAGAACGATTATAGAAACTGTCGAGAACTGTAGCATTCTCTACAAAAAGGTGACTTAGTTCTCGATATTGAGAAAGAGGATAGATATTGAATTGAATTCTCTAATTGGCTTCTAATGTCTAGTGTTTTTCTAATCGAAATCTAACATAGTTCTCTAACCTGATTTTTGCTTCGAGAACTACATTACGATTTCTAATGTAAAACCAAAACGTTTCTGTGTTGATTTCTCAGGAGCTTAAAATAATGTACAAGTTTATTGTCTTAGCTGTTCTTACCACACAGAGCACTGCGTTCGTAAATCCACTTAATATTAGCCTTTAAAATCCATTGCGCAGCTCAAAAATGGAAATTGATATAAAAAGTTAAATGTTATGAATTATAAAGGGTTAAGGTTTAACATTTCAGTCGCAGTTTAAAAGAGCGAATTGTCGAAATCACTTCTACCCTGTTAAATGTGTATTGGCTTGTATTATGTTCTACTCGTTTCTATGATTCCACGCTATGTATACTATACGTTTTTATGCGCTTACCCGTTATGCTGCAAGGCCGTTTGTTGCTTCTGTAACATGAATGTACATACCAGTGATGCCAACTGGGGGAGAATTATCCGATTTTGGTGGAATTTAAATTTCTCGGGTAATCGGGAAATGGCTTTAAATTTTTGGTAATTCAATATACAAACGATTTCGATTAGAACATTCCTATTGAGGATAAAATTGCATTTTACAATCTCTTATTTTGTATCACGTATTTGAAACATTACCCTACAAGAAATCTTACTGGCAAATGACCGGTAACCTGACGGTCAGTGCTGATGCAATAATGCTGCAATTTCCTCATCACAAATTCGGGGGTAATATGAAAAACCTGAGCAGTTCTTTTGTGTACATGTGACTATGCGTCCCTTTCTCACATGAGTGCTAAAAAGTTTCTTTTCTACTTATTCTATTTCCTAAGGTTATTTTTACAAATTTTTTTTTTGTGTATTGGTGTATATTTTAGTTGTTAGTGAAGAGGTCAGAAAAAAGTCCTTTTCTTGTAGGGTACGTAATTGCATCGTGCAACGGTGTGGATATTAAAGAAATTACAGCTATGCATAGCGACATTTTTCACGTTTTCGTTTGACACTCTTTTTTCTCCTTTCGTTTTCGGACCCAAGCCATCGATTAGCTTTTTACATTATAAGATTAAATGTTGAAATGTCCTTGTAACATAGTTGCATCACAATTAATCATATTTGTTGTTCTTTGATTAAAAAAAAATGAGCATGAAGCGCCTTAAATATGTAGTAAAATTCATTTTGGGTAAATTTCATCGAGAATAGGGGGATTTTTTCAGGAATTTCGGGGAATTAGCCTCAGGGGAGCTGGCAACCCTGATACATACATACATACGTACGTATCTTCTTCGGATAGGCGTAAATTTCTAGAACGTTCTTTCTATCCAAATTTATGCTACAAAAAATATTGCCACTCACCGTTTTAATTCATATGGCTCTCAACCACGTACGCTCTCTCTCGCTCTTTATTTATGTTGCTATGGTTAATGCTGATTGGCCAATTTTATGGGTGTGTTGTACGGTAATAATGCAAACGCAGAAGTTGCGTCGATAGTCCCAAATGTAAGTTTGTATGAAGATAGGAATATTCGAGTTGCCGGCTTTATGGCACAGCGTTTTTTGTGATAAGGTGCTTGTTATAATTAAGCTTTCAGGCGACTATGCTCAGTTCCAGAATATTATTCAATCAGAAAAATTTGCTTAATCGCTAAATATGTTAGTTCATATGTAGCTGATTTCATTGAAAAGCTGCCTTTTCGTTGATTTTCGATCGGATATTTTTTATGATATCGAAACTTTTCAGTTTATTTATTGTTGTAATTATGCAATGTTGGTTGCTTCTGATCGCTGTACTTTAGTCTTCACGCTGCTGGAATTATATTATGTTGATAAAGTTAGTAATTTTAGAAAATACTGTTCAAAGAAACTAGTTTATTTATTATTTTTAGAGTTCGTTGAGATATTCATTTCATATTTATAACCGGGAGAGAAAAAATTAGCAAGAAAAAAGGAATTTTAGGCGCTTAAATAAGACCTAAACATTGGAAAACATCAAAAAAATTAAGTACAGTTTAATGTTCGTCAGTTTTGCAAAAACTTTATAATTTTTCTAATTTCTGTTAAAATTATACTTCACGCTCTAACTTTCAATAATTTGGTCTAATCCTGGATTCGTTTAGGCTTTTATTATCAACCGTTATGTGAACAAAGTCCTTGTACACAAGTACGCTTTGGTATAAAAATCAGAAACATTTCTGAACTGAAAATTGTACCAAACCCTAAATAATCAGGCAGGTCTGTAATTCACTTCCGAGTGAATTTGAGGCAAACTAGCTTTGAATTCAAATTGGCAGGGGCTGAAATTCGCTCGGAAATGAATTGCAGAACCTGCCGGAACATAAACTTACAAGTGAACCGGCATGACGTTAAAATTACCAAAATTGAGTTTCAAATCCCTAAAAATTATTTCAATGTTAATCAGAGCTATAAGGGACCCGAGTGTCATATTTCAACTAAATCCGTGTAACAATTTCTGAGTCTGAACTTCAAAGAATAAAAGCTTATCGCACGTCTAAAAGCCAATGTCTTTAATTTCCCACTATAATTTTTGAAATTCGAAAGAAAGGTGCAAATCTAATGACCTTCACAAAAAATTCCTTCTCGTATACCTAATTTTCAAACAAAAGCATTCATATGTTCTGTCGACTGATACACGTTTTAATTAACTGATGGATTAAATTAAATTAGCGCTTTTAAACATGTGGCAACCGCACAAAATATAGTCAAGATATAAATCCCTTTTGAAACTCATTTCGTTTTATACCCATATTTTAATAGTTTAATTTTTTAAACAAGTGGAAGTTCTTGAAACAAATAATATATGCCTAGTTTTCAAACTGACGATTTTTTAACAATCTTTGAGGTTAAGATAACTAAATTCGAAATTTCAAACAGGTAGGAACTCTCTTTAAAACACTTTCAAACTAAAACCTTCCTCAATCTCTTTCGCCTGACACCCAAATTGTGTTACTTCGGAGCAAAAAATCGGTAATCGCTTTTAGTGGTAACGTTTCAAATAACTTGTGTATAAGTTAACTAAGTTCAACTTTTCAAACAGGTGGCAACCTCTTCGAAAATATTTACAAACTACTAGTTTCTCAAATTCCTCAAACCATGATACCTATTTTGAAATAATTGGCTTAACTTTTTAAATAATTTTTATTCAATTCTTTAAAGATGGCAGCTCTTTTCGAAAACGTAAAACTTTATTATCTACAGCTAAAACTCTTTACTTTGACACCTCATTTTTGTAAATGGAACGAACAGTGCGGATGTGACGATTATTAAATAGCTTGAATTTAATTGTTCAACAAATGACAACTCTTTTCGAAAAAGTAAAAGCTTAATGCACATATACAGCCCAAGCCCATCGATTTGTGAAAATTGAACGAACGGTGCAAATCTGATGACCTGGCCCAAAAATCCCTTCGCGTATTATACAGGGTGGCGCCGAATGAGCTATATGGTTTAAATGGTTTTTAACTTTTTTATTTATGCGATTATTATAATTTTTTTTTTTAAATACAGAACATTATTGAGGAATTTTTTGTAATTAGCTTTGAAAAATGATATCCTGTAAGTGATGTCCATTTTCTGCTTCGCACATACGTGCTCTTTTTAGCATATTTTCCATAACTTTTCGCAGAATTTCGGGTGTAATGGCCATGATTTCATTTCGAATGTTGGTTTGGAGTTGGAGAATGGTTCTTGGTTTGTTAACGTACACTCTTTCTTTCAAATATCCCCAAAGAAAACTGTCAGGAGCTGTTAAATCTGGTGAACGTGGAGGCCAGTTAAAATCGCTTGTGCGCGAAGTAATGCGTTCGCCGAATATGTCTCTTAACAAAGCCATTGAGGCACGTGCAGTATGTGCGGTGGCTTCATCTTGTTGAAACCACAAGTTTGGATGGTTTCCCACAGCTGGCCTAATACAATTTTCCAACATCCTCCGATATGCAGCACCGTTGACAGAGATTGAGACACCACTTTCATTTTCAAAAAAATATGGGCCAATTATCCTTTCGGAGGATACACCGCACCAAACAGTACACTTAAGTGGGTGTAATTCTCGCTGATGCACTGCTCTTGGATTTTCCGTAGCCCAAAATCCTGCAGTTTAGCTTGTTGACATACCCATTTAATAGGAAATGGGCTTCATCGCTCATTACCAAATTGTGAATAAAGTCTGGATTTTCCTCCGCTTTTTCACGGGAACGAATGGCATATTTAAGCCGTTGCTGGTAGTCTGTCGTCTTCAACTCTTGCACAAGCTGAAGTTTATATGGGAACAAGTCTAATGTCATCAAAATTCTCTGCAGCGACCGCCGTGATAGTCCAAGTTGTGTCGAACGCCTCCTTGTTGATGTTGATGGACTACGCTGCACGCTAGGTGTTCTTCCGGCACCAGGAAGGGTTCTTACAGACCCATGTTGACGAAAATTTCCAATCAAATGGTTTATTGCTGACGCTGTGGGTGCAATGCGCACATTAAAATGACGACGATATGCACGCTGTGTCAACACAACCGTTGGTTTAGAAAATAAAATTCAATTATTTGTGCACGTTGTTCGATCGTGTAATGATTCATAATTAATTCCCCAACTCTTCTTCACAAATTTCTGAAAAAAATAAATTAAAAAATAATAATTAAAGAAGTTGTAAAGAATTCAAACCATAAAGCTCATTCGGAGCCACCCAGTATATATGTATAGGTTATAGATTATATAATATACGTAAACTTAATTTTGGGTCGTATATTACGGATCTGTACACCGATTTTCTAGATCAGGTCATTTTCAAAAGATATTTTCATTCTAAATTGCATTATGAATGACTAAAAAAATAATAATCAAACTTTAAAATGGAAAATGTTACTCAAAAGCCATGGGCAAGTATGACCAATGGCCATGTACATGGCGTATGAGTAAAGTTATTTCCTGCTCATATGTCGTCCAAAAAAATCACGCGTTTTCCTTTGACCATTCACAACTTTTGAATTTAAACATCGATTTTCTGCGTTAGTAGCATAATTTGTTTTGTAAGAGACCATGCTTTAGACCTATAAATGAAAAGAATTTACAAAACGTCGGTAGTTTTTAACATTTTTTTTTTCCACTTACTTTGTATGTATGTACATATACTTCCTGATGCTAGATACTTGAAATTTCAAACTTAGCTCAAAACCCGATGACAGTGCAACATGAAAGATGAATTAATCCGCCAGGTGACGCGGTTGTCCATATATTTTAAAAACCCATATTTATGGTCCAATTTAGTATATATTTAGAGAACTTCTTTTACAGATATTTTTAACCGACTTCAAAAAAAGGAGGTTATCAATTGGTCGGAATACTGTTTTTTATGTATGGCTAACGCTTTCTATAATTATTTTTTTAAAGGGAAGGTGGTTCCATACTAATTTGATTAAGATCCGATCATTGGAACAAGAAGAAATTAACGGTACTTTTAAATTTGTGTATGAGAATAGAAGTCGGTTTTGGTTTTGTTTAAAAATTACCTATTTACTATTAGCTTATAAATTTTTTCCCTGTGAAAATTTGAGTTTTTTTCATAAAAATTAAAATATCTTGGGGAAAAGGCCTGAACTAGAGCAACAGAATACAGATTCGTAAACTACGACTCAAAGTTTAGTTTACGTGGTGCTGCGTGTCATTGCAAAACATGGAATTTTCCCTACAGTGTTATTTATTCGGCGAACCAAATCGTGAATACAATTTATTTCTGATTTCATTCCTGAACCAAATAAAAATAAAATTTATTTGTGATTTGACTCGTTAGACAAATTAAAAGTAAAATTTATTTTTAATTTGATTTGCATTGGAAAAAAACGAGCTTGCGGTACATAAAAAAAGTATTTTTACTTTTGCTAAGTGTTTGGCCGAGCTTCTTCTCTAAGTTGTGTATGGGTCATTCCATACAATATTTACACCTCAATATTTTTTTTTGGGTGAAATATATTTTTTTTACATTCTTTATCGAAAAAATAGAAGACACCTATTATTTCATTTGGTTCATTTTGAAAATCTCGAAAAATACCTGAAACTTTAAATACACGAGGAAGTATATTTTTTCAATTGTTTGCAGTTAATAAATTAGTATATACTTTATGTACGCAGGTATGAAAAAACTCGTAACTTCTACAGTTCTACAGCGTACTCCATAAAGTTTTACAACTATTCAGGTTGAAAAAAATAAAAATCAAACATGATGAAGTTAATAAAAAAAAAAAATTAAAATTAAAAAATGCAACTTTTTAATCCAAAAATTATTTTATTTTAATCTATGTCACACTCTCATGGAAACCCGACGTAATTACGCACAGTTTGACACCTTAACTGATTTCCCCAAACAAATAGTTTATTAACTGCAAACAATTAGAAAAGATGCTTCTCCGTGAGTTCAAAATTTCGGGGATTTTGACGAAATAAAAAAAAAAACAGGTGTCTTCTTTCTTCGATAAAGACTGCAAAAAAATATTGAGGTGTAAATATTGTATGTCTCTTGACATTACAACTACGGTGACCATATTTATGGGAGCCGAATACGGAACAAAAAATAATTTTGCAAATTTTTTCCACAACAGCTTACAGATCTTGAAGCCTTCTTCAGTGATCCTAAATGTATTAGCCCTGAAACAGTATCCTTATAGTAACATCACAAATTTGTAGAATAATTTTCTCCAAGATTTTTATCTCGTATAATTTGTTAAAAAAAATCGTTAAATTTTAATACAATAAAGTGCAATTTTGAAGTAGCTAAGGCTTTTACCATTAATTTTTGGATTTTTTT